TTAGCTTGGTATTATCTGGGGTAAAAACCTTAATTTCCTGGAGTTCAAGTCAGAAAACTTCTCTGCAGTGGTAAACGGCAGGCATTGAACAAGCAACTCCGAAAGGAGTTGGAAAATCATGGTGGAAAATGGGGATTCTCCTCTAACAATCCACAAATATATAATTATATAGGAAATGCAGGTAGTCCTCAACTTACAACCACAATGGAGCCCACAACCTATTGCTAAGCAAGAAAGCTGAATTGTGCCCAGTTTCATGACTTATTTCTCCATAGTTGTTAAATGAATCATGCAGTCATTAAGTGAATCTGGCTTTCTCCATTGACTTTACTTGTCAGTAGCCAGCTGGGAAGGTTACAAATGATCATATGACTCAAGGTCAGTGCAACTGTTAAGCACAGTTGTCAAGCACTTTAATTTTGATCATGTGGCCATGGGGCGGTCATGTGAAAACTGCTCATAAATCGCTTTTTCAGTGCCGTTGTAACTTCAAATTGTAATTGAACAAATGGTTGTAAGTTTGAGGGCTACTTGCATCCATATATATTGTCAGCTGAGTTCTTGGAATGCTTTATCTTGTCTTCTCTAGTCTCCATTTAACTGTTTCAATTTTGTGTGTACATTTTAAGATGGATCATTGTAACATTTAGCGCTGGATAGGTGATGTCCTGCACTTTTGAGTGCTCTTGCTGCTTTAGTTTAATAAATGACACAAAATGAAAATCTCAGTTTCCATTTTTAATAACATTTTAAGACTTTTGGGCAGATGAAAGTCTTCAAAGATCAAAATCCCAAGCGAAGAACTGTTAAGCAGAGCTGAGCGTATTTCAGGGTCTTTTATGCCCTCCTTTCTTATTAATATGTTTTCTGATCATTTGTCCCTGATCTCCATTTTTCTCCACGTCTTATTTAAACTTATAATAGTGATTTTAGAAAAGGGAACTCAATACATGCTGTTTTTGAGTAGGTGGTACTTCATGTGGCAATACAAACTCAAAAAAGAGATGAATTCCAGCCATTTACAATTTTAAGATTATTAAATGGGAGGAATACACAAAACAAAAAATAAAGATTGGCTGAAAAATGCAGAACTAATTCTTCTGTAGGCTTAGTTATGCAGAGGATCGAAACGTGTTAACATTTTATTTCTTGAAATACACAGTCCGCAGCTCCCTTGGGGCAACATGGGACATTTCTCTCTGTAACAAGTATCAAATTGTGGTGGGAATTTGTCATGTCAGAAGCTGTGATGCTGCTACAAAAAGTTAACGGAAACAAGCAGACAGATGTATTTTAAGGAGGGGCCACAGAGAAGATGGTTATAAATAGAAAAATGCTTAGACTGCAACACCAGGAAATATTAGTGTTCTACCCGTAAAACTAATGAAGTTCTCAGCTATAAAAACATAGCAAAAATAAAAAAAATTGTGTTTAACCTTCTGAACTGAAATAATTTATTTTTAAAATGAATGATTTATTAAGGAGACAGTAAGCAAAGCAGGTAAATCTTGTTCTTCCTAATCTTTCAGGAAGGGATTAAGAATTGTCTCCTTCCTATTTCTATATGTCAGAAAAAGCTCTGCAATCAAAGTTAATGTTAAAATGTTTGTGAATATAATCCAGTGAAATAGAAAGCTATTATCTTTTCAGACTCTGAGACGTCACTCTTGGCACATGCGATGGTCTTACTTTCTATCAACTTCACTCGTTCCTCTAAGAGCTAACCGGAAACAGATCCTTTTGGATTATTGAATATATGCCGTATATTGAACCAGAAAGGGGAATACATTTTCTTTTCATTGATCCAGAAAAAAAAGGGGGTGGGTTGGGAGGCAAGAATCCAGCAGAAGAAACTTCAGTGAATTTGTTAGTGTAGAAGAAACATTGCAGTACGAATAAAATTCTCCCACTGGCTGTTTTGAGTTAACACAATTGCTAAGATAGCACAACAAAATACCTCTGCTGTATATTTCACTAACTTTGCATTTAACCTGGTTCAGTTATGACCTCACAAGCCCCTTTCTTAGATTGTCAGAGTATAATGTATGTCTGTTCAGACTTGTCAGTCCAAAATCTTGCTAATTATGCTTGAGGCAAATTCTTCTGCTTGAAAGATACACTACTCCCTCAAATGGTTACAATGAATTTGTTTCGTATTGGCCAGGAAAAAATGAACAATTGCAGAATACATTGGTACAATGCAGCTTTTTTTGCTAAATATACAATCAGAGTCACATACCACTTTGTGATTTCAGTATTGCCAGCTTAAAAAAAAATGTGTGTGGGGTGGGAGAGATCCACACGTCTTAATGTTTGTTTCTTCCAACCCTTTTGTCTTGAAATGTTTCAGGGACTTTATTTCTCTCTCCAGCTGCAATTGTTAGAGGGACTAGGATGGAAATGTTAGGAGGTCAGTATTGAAGCTAAAGCATCTCTCCATATAGGTGTATTATTACACACACACAAACACACACATTTTTTTTTAAGCTGGCAATACTGAAATCACAAAGTGGTATGTGACTCTGATTGTATAGTTAGCAAAAAAAGTTGCATTGTACCAATGTATTCTGCAATTGTTCATTTTTTCCTGGCCAATACGAAACAAATTCA